CTCTCTCTCTCTCTCTCTCTCTCTCTCTCTCTCTCTCTCTCTCTCTCTCTGTCTGTGTGTGTGTGTGTGTGTGTGTGTGTGTGTGTGTGTGTGTGACACAGACGTCTGTGCATCTGCGTGTGTGATAACCTGCGTTTCAGTTTTTCTGTGTCTGTATGCGAGTGTGCGTATGTCAATGGGTTGGCTTAAGAGCGAAAAACATGTGGCTTCAACAATTTCATGCCTGGAAAGTAAGCTACTCGCATAAACGCGAGCAATGTGCCTCCCAAAAAAGAAAAAAAGAAAGAAAAAAAAAAACACGCAAAGAAATGTGCGTCCCCTAATTTTATGCCACAACAATGTGCACGGGAGCAGAAACGAAAACGCACACAAGAGCGCAAGAAACGCACACAAGAGTTTCCGAAAAACCGGGAAAAGACACAGACGGACAACAAATAAAGGGGGGGGAAGGGGGGGGAAAGGGGAGGGGGAGAGGGGGGGGAAGGGGGAGGCGAGGGGAAAGGTTACGAGGACGGACGGAGAAATCACACAGACCTTTCTCTTTTTTTTTTTTTTTTTTTCTCTTCCTTCTTTCTTCCACTTATCCTTCTTTTCCTTTTTCAGAGGGGCAACGGCCTTCAGATATCATCATCCAACTGACCGGCCCTACCTTCTTCCCCCGAATACAACTTACGGTCATTATGGCTGTATCTGAACTGAAAGATGCTTCAAATACAGCTATAATGACCGTACGTTGTATTCGGGGGAACAAGATAGGTAAATTCAGAACCGTACCTAGGTCTGTATTTCGCTCATCTGCTGCCAGTGGTGTTCGACCTCAGGTCTGTATTTCAACAGTTCAGGTGTGGTGTGTACCAACTGAGCTGCGTAGGCCAGTTGGAGACCTACACCTCTTAAACCACCAGTACTTGGCCCAGCTATAGGCTGCGGGGAAAAAAAATAGAGTAGATAGGTTTTCTACTAGTCGGATGAATTTGGGCGCCCCTGTAGTGGCCCGTACATTTCCTAAAATCGTGGCGCGTTAACGGGCACAACTCTACGAAGTACTGCAGTGGTTTAACCTTGGCCCGTACATTTCCTAAAATCGTGGCGCGTTAACGGGCACAACTCTACGAAGTACTGCAGTGGTTTAACCTTTCCACTGGCAGGTGCCACTCTTCTCAGCAGCATCGCCCAGGGCTAGGTCCCACTTACACGAATTAAGAGATATTGACCGTAGATAGCACAGATCAACGGTCAGAATCTCATACTACGTGCAAGTGGGACCTTGCCCCCGGAACACATCCATGGCGCCAGGCAGCAGAAGTCAAGTGGTGGCCTCGACGCAACACCTACCAAGTGGGAAAACGACAAAAACTACGGCGGGCGGGTGTATTTTTCGACGTTCTAACGGTAGATTCATTCTCCGTTATACATGTTTGGTGGTGAGTAGTGAGGCGAGTCCCAAAAAAAAAAAATAATAATAAAATAGTAGTGAGGCGAGGCCCAATTTCGCACTCGTTTTCTCTATTTTCCACGTTCTGCTTTTCATTCCATATATCAACAATAAGTTAAGGAACAGACACACACTTCTCTTCTTCTCTTGTCTCTTAACATTCTCGGGTTGCGTGCTTATGCTCTCTTATGGCTGGCCAAAAAATAATAATCGTTTGCTCACAGACGTCGGTGAGTATGGTACAGAGGAACCGGGACAAGAGGAAACAATAGTTCTACAGAACGTTCATTTGCGATACAGTCTGCACCCGCATAGGACAACCGATCATTATACAGCCGTATTTGTGAAAGTTTCAGCCCAGATACAGCTATAATGACCGGGCGTTCTATTCGGGTGAAGACGGTCGTACGGCAGATTGCCATGCGTACGTAGGTTCGCGGGGACTGTAGCTCGCCCTCGCTCTCCCCCTCGGTGCTCCTTACCTCCACTGCTCTCTCTCTCTCTCTCTCTCTCTCTCTCTCTCTCTCTCTCTCTCTCTCTCACACACACACACACACGCGCGCGCGCGCACGCACACACACACATATCCCCGCCTCTCCACCTGGGCGTTCTATTCGGGTGAAGACGGTCGTACGGCAGATTGCCACGCATACGCAGGTTCGCGGGGACTGTAGCTCGCCCTCGCTCTCCCCCTCGGCGCTCCTTACCTCCACTGCTCTCTCTCTCTCTCTCTCTCTCTCTCTCTCTCTCTCTCTCTCTCTCTCTCTCTCTCTCTCTCTCTCTCTCTCTCT